AGCAGGGATTTAAATTAATCAGGAACCCAAGGCCTCAAGACAGTTGCTGGAAGTGCAAGAAGCTGCTCTTAAAATGGAGAGGTTAAATAAAAAGAGCAACTATAGTACTTTTGGGTTGTCCTCCCCTCTCCTCTTTGCTAACCTGTCCCAGGTGCCACTTTGCTGTTTGCTGGAGCTTCATGGCATTAACGCTGGGAATGTGCTTATTTTAAGAAGTGCTTAGCAGGACTGCTGGCCTCGAGACGGGAGCTTTTGATAACAAACAGCTTTTGATACCAAGTGTGCGGATTACAAATTACATTTATGAGGGAACAGAGCGCAAGATTGATTCAATGAACCCTACGACCTGGTGTTAGACGGATGAAGGCTTCAGATGTGGCGTGGGGTGTTTTCTTTTGTCACTAATATATTGAATGACTTATGCCGCTACCCCACACTTGGAATAAAATTCAGCCGCATCCACGCTGGATTACTACCGTTTCGGTAGGCAATACCGGAGTGGTCCCTGGCTGTGGACCTGCACGTTGTCTGAAGTCATCGTAGCTCCCAGCACAAACATAGATGCTTGTCTTTATTCTTGTCTTTTGTAATCCAGAAGTAATATAGGAGGATCTTCCCCTCTTTCTGTCAAAACAGAACCAAATTTGAAACGGGTGAAAAATGATGGAGGGTAGGCATGTGCCAGGTGCTGTGTTTTCTGCTCTATTTTTTGCATGCTTCCTCAGTTGTTAAAGGGATTATATGCTATCAGGCCCTGTTGTCACTCAATGACTCTTACAAATCCTCTGTGCTTATTTATTTGCTTCGGTTGTATTTGTGTAACAAGAATGTTTGTAGCGTTTTCTGTGTGAGAATGTAATATTTGGTGTTTGTAGTACTGGGCCCACAACTGTGGCAATTAATCACGGACTCCGCATATGAGTTTAGGTGAAGACAAGCGAAGACACTTTATTTTTACAATCTATCCCTTTTATAATATGATCTAGTGTTCACGAGCAGGCAAAACTTATTTCATTGGCTAATGTCTTTCGTCCACGCGTCTCTTCAGCGTTACTTATTGGTTCTTCGAGTTGGCGCACGCAAATTCCTCTTTCAGGGATGTATCCAATCTCATCCTTATTTTTCTGCCTCTAAGTTTCACAAACTTGTTTGTAACAAACCTCAAGGGCACAGCTGCGTCTTGTCAAAGTAAAACACAATCTCACTTATTCCCCCACACAACTAGCTCTAGTTATTGCTTAGTGCTCAACAGGAAAGACCTAAGCAAACTGGCTGTTGGGAAGCCTTGGAGGTTGTACAGGGATACCCGAGTACTTGCGTCTTGAGAGCTGGAGATCAGTGCTACATTTGAGATTTTAAATGGAATGCTCTTTGGTTGGTATTTGCACTGTAAATATGAGATAGAATATGTTCTTTCAATATAGATCGGAGGTACTGCATTTCTTCTTGTTTTGTATATTTGTATACGTCAAACTTGTGTGGGTTTTTGCCTTTTAAAGGGGCCTTAGCCATTTCTTATAGCATTAATGTCATAATATTTGCTTTCATAGAGCATCATTCCTTTGGAGTAACACGTTCTTTCTAAAGCAAATAAGTAGCTTAGTGAATGAGCGGTTGCAAAACTAAAATAACCCAGTGTGAAGGGAAACAACATACTTAAACACACATGTGATCTGGTGATTTAATCTACAGTTCTGTGGACTTGTCAGCCTTGCAGTGAGTGACCTGAAAGCCTTGCAATCAGTGAGAACAATGAAGAGCTTATTAGAGATCACGGATGTTGGATATATTAATTCTATTTGACTGTAATCTCCCGGTATTGCATAGAGTTAACGATCACGATACCAGGAACGAGTGGTGATACCTGAATGTTTCCAAGTGGTGGGGTAAAAAGCTTTTTGGGAGAAAATATTTTTGTTTTAATTTGTTTTGGATTTTAAACAAATATTCTGGCTTTTCTGGGGAAAACATGTAATGTATAGAGTGACCACACTCGAAAAAAGTTCTGCTGTGCTAAAATCAGTAGTGCTACTGTTGTTTACATTAGTGCTACTGCTGTTTACATTTGGTCCAAATTTCTTCCAGCTTCCATCAAGGCAGAGGCTGTTTAGATACAGACATGAGCAACAGTGGGGCAAAGCAGCTAGCGTTTCCGCTGGGAGAAGATGGAAAAATTGAATCAGTGGAAGAGCAGTAAAGCATATGACGCTATCGGGTCATACACTCTTAATTTCAATGACTTTGTTAGTGTGACAAGGTGGACGGCCGTTATCGCAGCAGGGAACTGTGGTTAGGTCAGGGCATTTTAATTTTGTCTCCCAGTGTTTTAAGCTCTGTCAGCCGAGTGACACTGTAGTTTTCCAACTACTTAGTTTGGAGGGCAGCAAGCAATGTTTCTTCCCCTGCCATCTTACCTCACGTAGTTTCTAACTGAACCATAGAGTCCTTTCTTTAGACACGGTAGAATAAAAGCTAAAGGGGAATAATCTTCCTTGCGCTGGCTGTGTTAGTTTATGCGTAATAGGAGCCAACGGTTGCATTTATGTGCTCATTTTAGTCATCTCGGACAACAAGAGGTGGAACAGAGACAAAACATATTGTGCAAGCAGTTTGTAATGCCCATTGCTTCGTTACGTATGTCACTGAGTGTCTCCCGAGTTCACCCACGCTGCTTTATTTGCCCCCCTTGCAAAAGAACAGGCAGAGACCAATTGTGTTGAGGGCATGAAGCATTCAAACCAGAAAAAATGAAGGCAATTTATAAAGATAGAAGGGTGGACTGGGAGTAAGAGAGGGGAAGAACAGCAATAAGGAGTTTAAGCTACAGCTGGTTAGAGTCAGCATCTTCCATAAAGCAGCGATCTTCCATGTAAGATCTGTTCTGTGGCTTGTTCTCTCTGTAGATGATAAAACCTTTCAAAAGAGTCCTAGGCATCCTAAAGGAGACGTTATCAGTACAGTTCCAGAGATCTGTTACAGGAGGTTCCACGTCCCAGGAGTTTGTCATTCTATGTTCAAGAACCGTATAGAAGAGAAAGCGTCTTTTAGCCACTAAACAAATTCTTCATTCAATTGTTTCTCAAAAATTCTGTGGATTTTCCTCCTTTCAAGACTGATAAATAGGGCCAGGCAACCTTACCAAAGCACAGTGATTCATGTATTCAGGGAACAGGTACCTAAAACAAAGTAAGGATGCCAAAAGCATCTTCATGGTCATCTTCATGTTGTTGTTTTTTTGTTTTGCTTTTTTTTTCCAGTCTTTGGGGATCAATTTCTCCAACTCTGCATACAGGAAAATTGGGTCCGAAGGGGTTAAATACTATCACTGTTTCACATATGGAGAGTTGAGGCAATGAGAGACAGTTCTCGGTGGAATTTGGATGCCAGCTCTCGTTAGTGCCAACTTTAAGATTTGAGCTAGACTTAGTATGGGGAAGGGGAGACCTAAGTTATAGTCAAAGCACATTTGTGAACAACTGCAAGCAAACAAGTGATCTTCTTTACTGCCGTTGAATTTAACCTAATGAATTTTCTTTACTGAGGAAAGCACGTTGAACGTTTTCCCCTTTGGCACTGCAAGCTTAAGTCTTTCGGCATCTTCCAGGAAGGAAGTGAAGCCTTTTCCATAACCCTTCTGACCTGTAACGTTTCATAAAGCAGCAGGGCTCTTCATGCACTTAATCCTTTGTTCTTTGCTGGACTGGTGCCTGATGTGTAGATAGAGAATCAAAAGAGGGGACGTTTCCCCCCGTTCATTGAAAGACAAAAGAGCTGCAAGAATCTCGAATGAGTCTTTGAATGCCTGGAGCAACACCATGAAGTAAAGGTTTGCGAATAGACACTGCAGACTAAGTCATCTTGACTGATTTGAATGAGGTTTTGCCTGCTTACACCAGGGTGGATTTGGCCCTTTTTGAATGCAGCTCATCTTTTCCTCCTGTCTACCTTGCCTTTTCTGTGCAGTTTCAAATGCACTGAATTTTCAATGCACCATTCTGTAGGAAAGTAATTACATGAATACAGGCTTATTCCCTTTGTTTGAGGTTTGACTCATTCGCTCCCTTTCTGCAATTCTATTGTTATTTTTAAGGTAAATGCTTCAATATTTTTTGCTGAAATGTAAGCTCAACTTTTGTCTCAAACAAAGGGATAAGAACCCTGTTTGTATAACAAAGTAGGACAATAAGTCTTCTGTCACAGTATGAAATGGCAAAGTCGTGGCTTTCGGGGAGCTTGAGAGGTCTAGCGGGAAGGCATAGGAGCTGCCTGCCAGAGTCTTGAAATCGGGGGTTTATCCCGAGCTTTGCCACCGACTCAAGTATCTAATACCTTCTGCTGTCAGTGAGAGAGCCCATGTTTTAACACCTCTCCTAGGAGCTCGTTCTGCACTGAGATTTGTGTGCTTAACTTCAACATGGGAAGAGGAATAATTTTTTTTTCTGTTTCTGTCCTTGACCAGGAGTCTCTCTTTTCTCCCTTTTTAATGGTCTTGATCTCATTCTGTTGAAATCTAGCAAGGCTTCGAAAATAGTCAGGGAGAGTTAGAGTTAAGAATATTTATAGTTTTTCTAAATGCTTTTCTGCATTTCGGAGTGATGAATTTTGGTTTCAGTACGCCGCAGTGATAATTTGGAGAGATGTAATTCATGGTCCTGTAATTAGTATAGTCATACTTAGCATATTTATAATTCTGTCTCAGGATATAATCCTAGTAATGTTTGAGAAAGCCATTGCTCTATCTTCAGGGAAATAATATCTCACTAGTTAAAGGAATACTCTCACTGTCACCCATAGGCAAATACCTGAAATGAACTGGGGGCCAACAGGGAATACAGGGGCTCCAGGTCTGCTGTCAGACCAGGCATTACAGCAGCAGCTTCACACAAAATGAATGCTTGACTTGAATCCTAGGAGATTTACTTTTGCCAGAATGATATTCCTGACTCCCAAAGAGAAACTGCTACACTCCATTCAAAAGTGTTGCTGATAATTTGATCTAAAACTTTGTTTTTGACTTTTTATAAATGGAACCATACATGAATTATCTTATTGCAGTCAGGAGAATAAAAGTAGGATTTGCATGATCAGGCTTCTAAGGCACAACATTCCTTTACAGACAAATGTGGAAACTCTCTAAACTGGGGGAAACACCTAACCCTAAAGCAAAAAAACCCCCTTTCTTCCTCCACCAAGAACAACTTGATTTTTAAAATGGAATGTAGGTGCTGTAGAAAGTACAAATTCTTTTCTTACGTTGAAAAACATTAAGGAGCTTAATACAAACATGGACAAAATGCAACTAACTCGCCTCCTTAAAGTTCTGTTGAACTGATTTAGGATCAAGAATTGCTCATGATGATGTTTTCACCTAAATTATCTTACTCTTTTCAATTAGCTTTTGTTATTTTAATGGTGGCTCCTCCCCCCCTCTTCCTTAGTGCTTTGGCTGGATTCACATAATTGCCTGTATTTTATGTAAATGGAATTGTTACACCGTAAAATGATCTACAAATGCATCTACCGCACAAAGTCCAATAAATGGTGTGAATAAACCCATTATTTTCAATGCAATGGCATCTGATAGCAGCCTGGGAAACACGGGGCTGACGGATGTGAGCCCATGACAAGGCCTGGAAAAAAACTGAATGAGGAGCACTCTGACAGACCACAATTAATTGACTTTCAAAATAACTCCTTTTTTCCACAGTTCTACTTGACTGAGCAAGATTCACAAATTGCTGTCTTGAACTTTTTAATGGGACAAAATAGCTGCCAATGAAAGTCTAAGTGACGTGGACTTGGGAGTCGTACAACGACCACACCGTGACATGTTTTTAACTGACGTGTTATTTGAGAAGTAGCAGCCACTCAGCTGGGAGGGCATTGGGAAGCGGGGGGGAGAGGGGAGGGAGTCAGAGAACTGGGTATAGAAACACAGTCTGTTAAACACTAGCCAAATACAATTTCATTTTAGGAAGAGAAACAAGTTATTAGGAAACATCCTGCTAAACATTTTTACATGTGTTCCCGGAGAATACGATTTGGAGTCCAAGTCTGTTGTTCCTTTTGCTGTGAAAATCTGATCACAAAGCTAAATCAAGAGGAAATTACATTAGCAAGTAAGAAAACAGATCTTGTATGAGTAATGAGCACGCTCACTTCTCTGGCGTTTCGGTTCCTGCTCAAGACCCAGGCTGTAGTCACAGTCAGGTTTACACAGGCTCAAAATATCTATTTGTCTGTCCTGTCAATTAGTTTGGCCAAACTCTGGCAGACCTAATTGACCTCTTAATCCCAGGGACATCATGGGACAAGTAGTTAGTGAAGATCAGGATTTTTTTTTCCCTAGTTTTTGTACTATCTGCCACTGCTGATCAAGCAATACTGTTGTCTGACTCCCTGGGAACTCTTCAGAGAGTTTATTCCCCAAAACCTTCATCAGCCTAACTCACTTGGAGAACTGCAAGTGGAAAGTCAATTTGTAGCTTGTTTTGTGGGTGCCTTTGGTTTGGCTAAGATTTAAAAGTCTGTTGAGCTGCTTTCCACTGGCCACAGGGGGAGGCAGCAGCTTGCAAACCACTAGCCCTTTGGGTTTGATTTCACCGAGTAATGGTAGAAATCATCACCCATTGCTGCTTCCAGCTGTAACTTAAGGTGGCAGATGCTGGACATCACCTAAGGCTTTTTTAAGCAATCCCATTGCACATCCTTAGTCATTCATCTTCCTCCAGCTGATGACCATGTTTTTGCTTACCCAAAAAGGTCTCCAGTTTTGTTTATTGGATAGGATGTTCCCCTCATCCTCGGCTAGGATGCAGCATTACTGGTGACGGGTGCGTAGCTCAGGTGAAGGAGAGAGTTTGGGGCGGCATTTGACAGCCCAGAGGATGCCACAGCCTATGCAGCTCCTTCTTTTCTCTCTTCCCCAGCTCCTGTATAACTCGGGGAGTTATGCAGTAAAAGACCTGTTATTTGTACACTAGAGCATCTTTATTTCTGCCTTCCTTACTGCTTGCTTCAACTCTGAGCACAGAACAAAATATTTAGAGTTAGGGTTTACCATGAATATTTATTGAATTCAAAAGATCACAATTCACTCACTCTACAGCTGAAAAGATCGACAACAAACTGCTAAAACAGTTACAGGCAGAGTCATAAAACAGATGGCGTAAAATCTATGTCTGTTGCCCTGACAAGTATGTCTAGCCGACAGATCGATATGAAATAGCATATAGTATGCATACTGAAGTACATGGCTGATATATCAGTAAAATCAACAGGTTTATAACTACATAAGCATTTATTTTTCTAACTGCAGTACTTTATGATGTTTCATTAAAGGAAAGATTAAATTTAAACAGATTACTGTATTTTCAGTGGGCGAGCGTTTCTCCATTTACTCTCACTTGTACATTAATATGCAAATCATTCCACAGCCTCATGGCTTTATTAACACCAGAATTAGTGCTTTTTCTAGACTGGATAAGTTGGGTTCTTTATAGTATTAAAAAAGGGAAGTATAATTAAAGCGCATGTTTGTATCTACGTTTTGTTTAAAACCAATACAGCTTTGATGGTTACTGGCCGAGTAAAAACACTTCGGTTGTGTTGAAGAGGCTTTTGAAACGTTATTTATCATGCTGTAACTAATATTTTTTCTGATGTTATATCACTCCAATGTTTCAATATATCCAAGATATCTGAAGCTAACCAAAATAACAGTTTTCAGAAGTGCAGCAATTCAGTTATGCCGTTCTCATTTCATTCCAAAGTAACAGAAACTCGTTCTAGCATTTCTAGTCACTCGTAGCACAAAAGAAAACAAACAAAAAAGAGACTCGGGAATACAGCGGCAGGCTTGTTTCACTGCCTGTGGTAATCCAGAACACCGTGCCTGTTATATTCTGTTGGTCATACACCAACGCCACGTTTAAAGAATCCCACCTTGTCCAACATGGGAGAATAAAAGCTGCTCTTTACTTTGCTGGAGTATCACTCCAGACTATGGCTAAAGAAGCCCATAGACTTAGAGGTTAATATTGACACCCCTTTAAAGTCAAAGAAGCAAGAAACAGAAAATATGGACTTTCTCCACTGCACAAACCACCAGAGCATTTTTCTCTCCCCCAAACAAGGGGACAGAGGGCTCCCGCAGCACCCTCCTGAGTGGATCTGCAGCCCCGCGTTACAGCCAAGCAGCTACAGGGACAGGATTTCTCTGAGGAAACTGCTCTTGTCCCTCGCTGCTGAAAAACTGGAATGCAGGGAAAAAAAGGAGAAAAAAAAAAAGGTTTGCATCCATTGTTGGCTCCTAGGAGGACACATCCTCCTCCCACACCTTCTGAAGTGTTCTGCTGAGTTTGGTAGTTTTAGTGCTGACTGTGCTTTGGAAAGCTAAGACCCTTGAGAGAATACAACTACTCCAGAAGACAGCCGTGGCACTCTTAGGTCCACCATCAATTCCATATCCTATTCTGGCCAAAGAAATGGAAGAGTCTTATCAGACTTACGCTATCTTTGACAAAGTACTAAGAGTTTACGAACCAAGTAAAAATAGAGACATCGAGCCTGAATTCCTGCAAGTCTCTCTCTCTAAAGCACTTTGGCTAATGTGAAATGTAGTCGCAGAGGTTCCTTTCAGCCTTCTAACAATTCCCTTCTACACCGCCAGCAGTAGCTTTGTGTTTTATTTCACCACGTCCCATAAGGGGACGTTTTACAGATCAAAGTCGAGGAAGTCTCTCATGTGAGCTTCCCTGTTCTCCATGGGCTACGGCAAGAAATAAGAGCTACTATGGTAAGTCCAGAGGCATCAGCAAGATACAGGCCCAATACCCATGAGATCCAAGTACCTTGACTGCCTACTGCTTGTTTTACAGTTGTAAGAAAGAAATGCAGATTCCTCTGTACGTGGCGAGTACTTCTGAAGACATACCACAACCCAAAGCAAAGAACACCAGGAGAATTAAAAATCCATTCCAGTGGGAATGGAAGCATATTCTCCTTGGTGCTAATTCCCTGCCTGTTTCAGAAGGCTCACCTGTCTGTCTGCAGGCTTCATGCAGAGAGGAAGCAGCATTTTCTATGTGCTGTGCACACTGTCTTGAGACTCCTCAAATCAGAGTCCCAATAACATGTAGGAAATCCAGTTTCTACCACCAGGACAACTAAAGGTACACCAGCAGAGACTATCTCGCTTCATGAAGAGGAAAAGCTTTACGACAGCAGACCCTGCTTTAACTGAAGAGCACATTTATGCTCCCTGCGCAAGCCAAAAATGCACTCCCTGAACTCCCCAGCGCACAAAAAAAACCCCAACACTGAAGAGCCTTCACTGTGAAGATGTGAAGCATGTTCTGGGTCAGAACACGAGGCAGAATGCTTCATCCCACAAACTATATTATTCAGGGCGCACACTACTGCTCTGCAGGATGTCTTCCTGAAGGCTCTCTGGTGTATTCCCAGTCTCCGAGTTGATGTCATTTATTTCCTGGTGATTCTGACACCATTTCTTATCCATCAACTCTAAAAGTCTCTGCATTTCCATTCTGATGAGATTTGCCATATTGGCTTTTATAATTTAGCATCATAGGACCTGAACTTACTGATTTTAATAGCTCATTCTGTGCCATCTCATGGAGTCATACGCTGAGAACGCGCGCATGGCAAATCCTGACTATGGACAACAACCTGCGTACAGAGAAAAAGGCAACACGGAGAACTACCTCAAAGCCTGGAACCTGAATTTGTCAAGGAATTCTTCCTGCTTCTTTCTCAAAGGGGTTATTGCTACCTGTGAAACACATTTAGACCTGAAAATTAATTCTGGGGATCCTTTACAGCAAACCAGAGAAGCCACAGTGGCCACTGAAGACATTTAACAATGGTTCGCACCATAACTTTGCTTTTAGAAGGACAATCAAGCTTTTTGCAAAACCTTTCATTGTAGTTTTTACTATCATCAACGTTTTACTAAATCACTATCTAAAGCCTTTAGCAATTCAGACCAAAGAATCATCAGATTTCCAAATTGCTTAAGAGCGCTAGTAATTTTTATCTCAAGCAAACAATCTTGAAGACTTTTTAGACTAAGACATACAAAGAGTTGCTGCAGGACTGATTATCTGCATGTAAGTACTAGGTGAACTAAACTAAGATACAAGACCTTACTGTTTCAGTTGGCAGAGAGAGAGAACAGTGCCGCTGGAAAATAACCAGAAGGCAGGGTACAAGGCTTCAGTAAACTGGGTTTTGAATTTATAGATCAAGTTATGTTTCTCCTCAACAGCCATGAAAATCACAAACCCACCCTCGCAGTGAAGCAGCACACCAATCTTGGTAGCCTTCACATTGGGTAAGCACTTTTCGACATCATTATGCCAGGATGATATTTTGGAATTAAACCACTCAATGCACCAAGAACTGCTGTTCCTCCCCAGGCGGCTCTCCGGCCCCTGCCGGTCCATGCTGCCGTAGCAGATGCCAATGCCACAGAAGTTGTTCTGCTGCAGTTGCACTTCCCAGTAGTGGATGCCTCTCTTGAAGCACTGGAACCCCAGCACTTGGGAACAATCGGTGAAGCGCTGAGGGTGGTAGTTATAATTCATGAGGGTGTCCGAGACAGACATCCTGGTATACCTCTCAGACAGAATCACTTTGTTATGAGCTGTGTTGTAATCCAGCGTGATGTTAGCAGCATCTGCAATGACACAGATCGTTTGAAGGTACTGAAGAGCAAAGCGCTTATTTATACCATCCTGCCTAGGCGCTTGTTCCTATGCATGTTTATCTCCCCGCTCTGCTCTCCTCCCCGGGGCAGGCAGTTCTTAGGGCCACAGTAATAGCTGCTGGGTTCAACTGCAGCTCTGTGTTATGCAGCAGGGAAACGGAGGGCAGGTTTCCTTCCTGCATCCCTATGGGATTCCTTCACCACCCAAATATATGCTGGCAGAAGAAGGGGATTGCTGATCTGGCAGCGAAAGGTATACTGTATTGTATACGATCTGCTATAGCGTCTTAAGCAAGCCATCGTGGGCTCGCATAAAAGCCTGCATTTTATTTCAAAGAAAAATCCAGTGCGTTACATCGTATTCCTAGGCTACCCTACTGCAGTCATTTTGGGGGAAACCAAAGGCAGTACCGAGAAAACTTAATTTACCTTTGTAAAGATACATGAATACCAAAGAGAAATTTGATTCATCTGGCAAAAGAGCCACTTATAAACCTCCTGCCCCTTCTCCTCCAAAAATTTCCTTCATTTGTAACAACTAGCCTACTAAGCTAACTAAACCCCCTCAAAAGTATTTTTGTCAGGTAACTACAGAGGGCACATAACACCAGCGCAATAAGTGCAGAAAGTTCATCTTTAAGTAGTGTAATGTCGAGTGTCTTACACTGCAAAAGCTCCTCTCTGGGTTTCTTCAGAAAGCTGGCAATAAGCTCTTTACTTGAAACGGCAGGGGCAGTGTTTACTATTCCCGTGGTTGGTGCTGTGTTGACAGAAGAAGAGAGTTAGGCCAGTTGGGAAGAAGCCCTGCATGCTTAACACCCAGTCGCAGACACCCTCAGGTTGGAGCGGACCTCTAGAGGTGATCTGGTTTAGCCTCCGGCTCCAGGCAGGGTTAACTTCAGTGTTAGCTCAGGTTGCTCACAGTCTTGTCAAGCTTTGAAAATCCCCTGTTGTCTCTGGGCAACCTCCTCCAGTGCTTGATCGCTCTCAGTGACTAGTAAGAGCCTTCTCAGAGCAAGAAGGCTTGAACTTTTGCTTAATACACCAACACTAGCAACCATCTACTTATCTTTTTAAGAGCAGTCATGAAAATTAGAATAAGTATGCTGAAAGTTTGGACTCACCAACTTTAACAGGTTTCGTTTTCTCCTCTGGAGGGGGAAGGAAAAGAAAAAAAAAAAAAAAAAAAGAGAGAACTGTGAGTTCTACTGAGACTGAAAAGCCACTGATAGACTGTGCCAGCTCTAACGCCCATGGCTCTTAACAGACCCACACTGGAAAACTACACATGAAGCACAACGTACTATTTGCTTCCTCTTTCACGGGGTCATAAGCCTGGAGGAGCTTGTCGTGGTTTAACCCCAGCCGGCAACTAAGGCCCCCCCAGCTGCTCGCTCTCTCCCCCTCGGTGGGATGGGGGAGAGAACTGGAAGGGTAAAAGGGAGAAAACTCGTGGGTTGAGATAAAGGCAGTTCAATAGGGACAGCAAAAGCTGCACACGCAGGCAAAGCGAAACAAAGAATTCATTCGCTACTTCCCATCGGCTTCTATGAAGAAAATTAACTCTGTCCCAGCCAAAACCAGCACAGAGCTTCATCTCTACTCCAGGGTGCAGTGTGTTAGGGCAAGTGGTAATAAGCCTGTTCCCACGAGGCACACAGGCTATCCCTTTTCCTTTTAGGACAGATCTTCTAGCGCAGCAACAGGAGCTCCAAGTTCATTCCACTCCAGCAATCCACAACAGACCCCACTGAGTGCTCCGCACCCAGGACTTGTGAATGGAAAGGACCACGTGTCAAGAGCTCAGTGGAAGTAACAGAAGTAGTTTCTTAACGCTTGGATTTATTTCACAAAGAGAACATGGAAGGTCTTCCAAACAGGCTAGAGTGCCGCATTAATACTACTATCTGGACAAAATAACACTGACAGACCCCGGTATAACCTGCCACAAAGACTGTCTCCATCATCCCAGCCTTAGACTGTAAGCGAGACATGGCCAGCAAAATGTTTGAGTAGGCTGCTATTAATCACCACTTACTGGTATCTGCCTCCACCGGCAAAGTGGCTTGAGTCTGGTGAAGGATCTTCTCTTTGTGGGCATGCTCTTGTGAGCGGGGGGGAAGAAAAAAAACAGAACATGAACAGATCATAAGCAGGATTCAATACATACAAATCCATCAAACAAGCCAACAGATGTTTAGTACAAATGAAAAAAGCCTGCAAGAACCAGAGGGCGGGGAGGCTCTGCTTTGCTTACAGCCTGCCCTGCCACCACTACAGGCGCACGCTGAGGCCAAAGCGCCATCGTGTCTGTGCAGTTTGCTGCTTTACAGCTCACAGGACATCCATCACTAAACAGCCCCCAACACCCTCCCTTTCCCATGCCAGAGTGCTCGCTACAGATTATCAGTGCATCACTGCTAGAGCAAACGCTTCTTGGGTAACTGCTTGAATTCTTCCTTAATGGTAAAGCCATAGTTAGGAGAGGATGATGTTCTTTAGTACTTACGTGGTCCCGGAGGCTTTTTCCCAACAGCGGGTCTGTTTGGAAAAGCTGCTGGAGGGGGCTTAGTTTTCGCAGGTATTGGTTTTGCTGCAAGGGTGAAATTTTACATTATGGTTTGTATTGCCAGGAACAGTAATGCACGAGCAAGGACATTTTTCAATCTTATTTTTCAGTCATGGGAATAGAACTTAAGTAATACTTGGCAGAGATGGAAACTGCATAGAAGATACCCACGCCCCAGTCCAAAAGACACTTTTGCTTAACCCGGTAGCAGGGCTTTGTTCTGCAACACTTACACGATCAGCACCTTTACAGTTGAGTAACCATCGTCCTATCACTCAAAAGCATTTTATGCCTCCCCTCAAATCCACATCCTAACTGCTTCCAACCCTGCTACACAATAAGAAAATAAATGACCGTAAGGAATAAAGGCTGAGCTGTGCCAGAAAGGCATAGCATCAGCTTATCGAAGTACAGATAAAAGTAAAGAGAGACTGGCACACTTTTTCTCCTAGTTTAGCCCAGACTGTAGCATTTGTTTGGAAATGGAGGACCACAGACGTCAGAAGACAATTTATATTAACCAACTGTATTTGCTGCACTATTTTTTTTAATGATATTTGGATTGGAGGGGGAAGATGCCTCATTTGAACTCAAAGCCAAGGCAGAAAATGCCAGTTCTCCCAGTGATAACGTACCTTCTGGTCTTTTCTCCCTACACTGAGTCACTGAAAGTTTCACTATGTCTTTAAGGTTAATGGCAGACTGATAAGTGGAATGTATCAAGTTTTGGTCCATTTCAATTGAAGGGATGAAAGGGTCTTTTGTTGATACTTGTTGCAGTGCTGCTGCTCTCTGAAATGAGAAACAGAAGATCTCGGGCAGATCACCTTGTGTAGCAGACACAGAAAGATACAACCAAGTTACTTTAAATGGGGGGGGGGGGGGGGGGTAATTGTACTTGATGTGGGGGGAGGGGGGTTGTGCATTCATCTCAAATTCAAAGGAGCAAAGGCTACAGTCAGATACGACCCATGGCTAAATACCAGCAGCCACCCATATGCATTCATTCTCAACTGGTATCGAAGCAGTGAGAAAGATCTACTGGATGGTGTCACGGCATGGAGCTGCAACCCTCACGGAGACAAATCCTCTCACTCGCTGGCCCCTCCGCTTGCGGCAGAGGCTGAACTGGGGGGAGTCCCTAGACACCACTTCATTTGGGCGCTCCTCCGTGGATGTTGGTGTACTTAGCAGTACACCCTTTTATAGCAGGTTCTTGCACATGCCTGCATTATCATTTGACTGAAAGTGTCTGGAGAGCAGGACTATCACAGCAGGTTTTTGTGATTCTGCATTCTAGAAACATGAAGAATTGGATTCGCATCCAAAGGACATATTACCTTCAAAAACAGAATGTCATCACCTTCAGTCAGTGCCATCTCAATCTGATCTCTGAGAGACTGAATTTCGTTCTTCTTACTTCCCAGAACACCATAAATATAATCAAACTTATTGCAAACTCTTTTTTCTTCTTCTGCAATTAGTTTTAAGGTCTGATTTTCTCTTTCTTCAATTAAAGCTTTAAGTTCTGAAAACTCATTTCTGATCAAATCTTTCTTTCTGGTAGCTGTCTCCTGGAGCAGACAAAACAGACAGACGCTGGTTTCAAAAGAACAGCTTGTGGACAAAGTACTGCTTACTACTACTACAAGAAAAAACGTGTTCCTTTGAGGAACACGTAGGCTTCAATTACTTGAAGCAGGCAATAGAAAAAACATGTACTTCTGTGTAGTTTGGAAAGAAAACTCATTTACTCCCAAGAAATGAGGCCAGTTGTCAGTCTCCAGACCCCTGTTGCCAGGGCTGCCAGGCAGAGGCCGGGCCAGCCGTGCCGTCCGGCAGTTACCAACACCGGGACAGGGCTGTGCCGCCGCGAGCTCGGACACCGCACACCCACTTGTACCCCCGAGATGTGGCATCTCTGGTTAATACAAAGTAATTCCTGCTCCTCCGAGAGATGTTCCAGAGGAGCACAGAAGTGCCACCCCGGCAGCTTCTCGGGTTCTTGGTCTCTACTACTCGGTTCAGAAGGGATGGTATAAGTGAGACGTAGCCGATCCAGCCGTCGGCACGAACAGCAACCCCGATCATCAGCTAAGAGCAAGGATTAGTTGTGGGAATTTATGGGGAAGAGACATCCCAACTTTCTGCACCGTGCAGCCACTACAGCTCGCTAAGCCTTTAGCGTGGGCTGCACAGATGTGCACTTTCTGGTGCCACGGGAAAGGAGAGGTTTGCGCCCCGGTACGGGTCGGGTCTGTCACGGTGCCTGGGTTACTCCCATCGCCGCGGAGCTGCCCGGCTCTGCCAAAATGCCTCTTTTCCGTTCCTTCCCAATAACGTCTTCTCCTGCCAACGCAATCTCAATACTACAGCCGTTGTCCCAAGAGTACAAGCAACAACGTGCAGTGGCCAGCGTATGCCAAGCAACCTGATAGCATTTTGAACCGTTGTCTACTTACAATAGTTTGGCTTTGGCTTGTTTTCAGAGTGGTCATCGCTCGAGCAGTTCTCTCACTCCGATTATGCAGCTCCACCAGTTTCTTCTTCAGCGCCGACTGCAACAGAAGAGATCGGGAAGTATTTCAGGGAAGCAGTTGCCGTGTCTGCTCTTACTTGGGAGATGCTCACTGGAGCAAGAATCGTATTTACAGAAAGTTTTAAATAACCTCTGTCAGCATTGATTTAAAACCTACTGCTTCTTAAACCTCACAGGAGGTAAGAATCCTCTCCTGCACAGGTGTGCCTTGTGGAGCCAGCACCCTCCCAGCAGCTCCGCCTCTCCCAACAGCAAGATGCATGCTGCTGACTCAGCCGATGAGGACGCAGTACTTTCATCAGCACAGAAGTTCCAGTGCTAAAAATAAACCTCACGTTATCTCTTAGGCTGGACTTTGGGCACTAGGTTAACTCTACTGTTCACCCCTCTCGTTTTAATTGAGAATTTTATTGCTCAGATGTGAATTACCTATTCCTTTAGTTCAAGATGCTCCTAAGCTAAATCAGGGAGGACTTCTGAGGGTGAGCAGTACTCACACTCACCAAACAGATGGGAGTTTGGCCACCTAAACTTTTCAAGCATGATTTACTCGTTTACCCTCTGGTTTTCAGCTGTGTTGCAAGATACAAAAGCCAGGTTTCCTTCCCTTCTACTCTGTGGAGAACCTGCTCCTGGCATTTATCTATGTGCTCAAGCTCTCCCTAGGCTACGTTTACAGAGCAATGCCTGTCTACCGTCCCTTGGTCAGCCTGTGGCAAGGCCACGCGGCGAACCCCGTGCAGTGAGCAGCAGAGGAAGCTTGGCGTTGGAGGTGACGCGGGCAGAGGCGGGCGGCCTCGCCAGTCAGCCCGGCTCAAGGCAGCAGCTGGCTATCGACCCCCAGTAGCACCTTCCCAGACCCTCGGAGCAGTCTTGGAGCGAGGAGGAAAATGCAAGGAACGACGCTGAAGACATGCTCGAGCGCACGCCGGAGGGCGGGTAACGGTTTGCCGAGGCCAGGCACGAGATTTACAGTCCAGGTCTTGGTCCAGCCTCCCCCCGGCACTCCACAGCCCACGACCCCAGCACCCAGGGACCCACCAGGCCCTGGGGGAGCGAAGGGGAGCTCCGGGGTGCCCCTCGGAGGGTGCTGCAGCCCCGGGCAGAGCCGGCCGCCCCTGCCGCTCACCTCGGCGTTGGCTTTGGCCAGCTGCAGGGGGCTGGTGTGACACAGCTTGTGCTCGAGGAGACAGAGGGAGCAGATGCAGCTGCCGTGCTGGCTGCAGAAGAACTCGAAGAGCTTGTTGTGCTGCGGACACTTGCGCTGCTGCAGGTCGCGCAGGGGCGGGCAGAGCTGGTGGTCGCGGAAGGCCGGGCTGTCCTGGTGCGGCCGCAGGTGCTCGGCGCAGAAGGAGGCGGTGCAGGTCAGGCAGGTCTGCAGGGCCGGGGCCTGCAGGCCGCTGTGGCAGTGGAGGGGGGGCGGGGCGGCCCCGCCAC